TTTTCACAGTCGTTTCAGAAGACACTGCTAACAGACCCGAAGGCAGCAAAGCTGTTGGACAAAGTAGCAGGGGGTCAAGAAAGCAGGGGAATTCCCCTTCCCCTGAAGTCCTCAACCTCGCCACCCAGCGGTCCATCAAAGCCATCTCCCAGAAAGCTCTTCTTTTAAATCAGTTTGGTGTTTTTTAGTCCCTTGTGCATTTTGCCTTGTAATGATATTGAAGCTCCGATTTATGAAATGTGATTACTTTTTATCCATTTACCTTGCCAATATTTAGCGCGATTAATAAACCTTTTGAAGAAACGCAACTAGTGACTGTAAGGTGACTGAATTCCTTTTTTTGGCCAGAAACTGTAAGGTGACTCAATCAGTAGCTACAAATATAAGTAAAACCGTGATGTTTCAATCCTTTTTCCTCATGAAAATGAGAAGAAAAATGTGTTTTTTTCTTTCAAGTAAAAAGGGTGAAACTTATGTCATACTGTCAAGCACATCGATTCAGCACCATTCGACAGCATAGAACCTTAACGCTCATACTGCTGGGGTATGGGAACTTTGTGAATCTTAACGTTATGATTGTGGTATGCAAATGGCCATTAGCTGTATTCTAGTATCAAAATGGTGCCAAAATTCCAAGCAAGGTCTGTAAGTTTAATTTATCTAACCGTTAGGGCCTGAGATACAAGTACAGCCACTGGAACCTACAGACTACTTCCAATGTAAAAACCAAATAGTTTTGGTATGGACACATCTTTAACCTACAAGATTTTCTTTTTCCTTCCACAAAAGAATCAGAGCAGTAAAACATATGATTTACACGTTCTTGATAACAATAAGTACCACTGACCACATTAATCACAGGAAAAGAGACAACTCTGATTTGGGCATAAAGGTGAACACACTTTCACCAAAATATTCAAACAGTGATGCCAGTAAATGTCCTGCATCCGTCTCCTCTTTCCACGCATGAGCAAGAACTGTAGAACCCTTTACCATTTTACCACTGACCTCCCTTCCTGACATGTGTTCCTTTGGTAACTGGTGGGATACGGATGGTAAACCAACATTTAAACCCCCAACAGATGAGGAAAATCCACCTACAGCCCCTTGCATGTCAACTTGCATCGAGTTCATTGGCATTGCTCCCCCTGTGCCATCGGAAGCTAATTTTTTGAGTGGTGGTTGCTGCATCAAGTTGTCTGTGCTTGCTTTGCGTTTATCTTGAATGAAAAGAAAGAGGTTAATCACAAGGATGATATGGGACAAAGTAGATATTCAAGTTAAATGAGGTAAATCTCGTCACCATTTGCAAACCTTGTTCAATAGAGGCTAAAGCTACCATGTGAATTGAAAAACAAATGTGCTGTATATTGTTACATATGTAAGCAGATTGCTCTTACAAAGGAACAATACAAGTTCAATTATACAGTTGCATATGTTTGACCCATGCAAACGCACACCCAGAGACCAGTATGCACGTGCACAAAGAGAGAAAGCTTCCAATAACATAAAAGAGGCATTTTAGATTTAAGTATTCAATCAAAGTTACAGGTATAGAAAATGCAAGTATATCAAATACATAAGTTTTCAAGAGTTAAGTGTTAGAGCTAAAATATTTCTAGCTTAGTATGTCTAATTTATTTTAGAGGGGCCATTAACTTAAATTAAAAATTGTCTATTACTAGTTGTATGTATTATATGATATATTAGAGGAGAGATGAAAAACTGGGGGGGCCAGTGCCACTGCTTCAACAGGTAATTCATACCATTTTGAAGTTTCTTCTAAACACACCGTATTTCTTGTCAACTCTACAAACACACACAAGCGGCATGCGCATACCTAGGGCAAACAGAAGCAAACTAACACCAAATCTAAAATCCAACACACTCAACCTACATGCAAACTACAGAAGCATGCGATATAACGATTCTGTCAGAATTACACTTAAAGCAAACATCTGACATCCCCACGTTTATAGGCCATGACGTCAATTTTCAATGAACTTGCCACAAAACACATCAATCACAATCTTTTTGGTAAGGTATATTTGGCCTCATCATGTGGGTGGCTTACATACTGTATACCATAAGCGCATACATGCATCACCTTTCCCTGCCTTCAACCATCTTCCAAAGGAAGACAACTTACAAGTCACACTACTGGCCATTAGAAACTCTCTTTTCAATACATCCACAAATACGATCTTGCATCACACAGCAATGTAAAATACACATACAACTCTGAATATATATAATATATATAGGGTTCCCTTTTTTAGTTGCAAAAGAAGGGGGGATGCCTTGGGGCCTCACTCTGCATTGTAATTCAATTTTTATCACGATCACTTTAGTGTTTATCAAAAACACCGTGTTTACCTATATTACATGATTGCATTTAGTTGGGCCCGAATGCAATCCCTTTCTTCTCTTATCAGAGAGGAACCCTCTTCTTAAGTTTTTCTGACACTGCACTCAAAAACACTGTGTTTACCTATATTACATGATTGCATTGAGTTGGGCCCAAACGCAATCCCTTTCTTCTCTTATCAGAGAGGAACCCTCTTCTTAAGTTTTTCCAATATGTGTGTGTGTGTGTGTGTGTGTGTGTGTGTGTGTGTTGGGCCCAAACGCTATCCCTTTCTTCTCTAATCAGAGAGGAACCCTCTTCTTAAGTTTTTCCAATGTGTGTGTGTGTGTGTGTGTGTCTGTGTCTTTGTCTGTGTGTAATGTAGACATAACCCTGAATACTGGATGCAAATCACTGCACACACACAGGAGCACTATGAGGGGATCAGTGTATCTTCAGGCATGTAGCATAGCAACTAAACTAGTTAAAGGAAGGCATACTTGTCATTGTTGTTGCAACCCTTTCCTTGCTCTTCCAGATGGCATGAGCTGGAGGAGACAACAAACTGTGGAACATCTTGAGCCGATCATGCATGCATTGGCCAGCCGCTTTCTGGAAGTGGCTTTGTTAGTTCCATGCCATGTCAATTTAAGAGCAAAACCTATAAACATAAAAACAAAATTCCGATTTGAAATATGAACTCACCAGCAAGGCCCCATAGACACGCCAAGCTTCATGCCTCTTTATTTCATTCTTTTGCTTCTCTAGTATCATTTCTGGTTCAAGAAGTTGCATATATGAATCGAGATTTGGTAGTATAAGTAGACGAACCTGCTCAAAGTTGAGAAGCATGGCAATTAGATCAAACAAAAAAAAAAGATGTTTCCACTAGGTTAAGCAGAAAAACACACAGAGACAACACAAACTGTGGAACATCTTGAGCCGATCATGCATGCATTGGCCAGCCGCTTTCTGGAAGTGGCTTTGTTAGTTCCATGCCATGTCAATTAAGAGCAAAACCTATAAACATAAAAACAAAATTCCGATTTGAAATATGAACTCACCAGCAAGGCCCCATAGACACGCCAAGCTTCATGCCTCTTTATTTCATTCTTTTGCTTCTCTAGTATCATTTCTGGTTCAAGAAGTTGCATATATGAATCGAGATTTGGTAGTATAAGTAGACGAACCTGCTCAAAGTTGAGAAGCATGGCAATTAGATCAAACAAAAAAAAAATATGTTTCCACTAGGTTAAGCAGAAAAACACACAGAGACAACAAAGGCAGCCACAACTAAAACTAGATGCAAATGTGCTAAGAAACTATGTCCAACACCAAGACTGCAGCCTTATTAGAAAATCCATGTAATATAAAAGCATGCAGGAGAGCATACCACACTAGGACCAAGGGCTGCTAGCCCTTGAATTGCACCATAATGCTGAGGTAATGTTTTTGTTGGGTCCAAGAAAGCATGAAGCAGAGTCCTTGTCAAACGTGGTTGAAGATTGTGATAAACATGCCCAAATCTGCAAAAATACACTGCTAATAAAAAGATTGAAGTATCTCGATGTAATGCGTAAATTTTATAATGCTCAGTATCTCATTGTTTTTAAAGAGTCTTGATATCTCTGTGTGTTGCCAAATTACTTAGCAAACTAAATTACCAAAGGTAATTGGTCACAGTGTCAGACAAAGCTTTACTAGAATGATAAATTCCACAGGCCAAGTCAGCTAGGTTAGCTGAAACATGGTTCTTGGTCTATGGAAATGGAGCCCTGACAAAAATGTACACTGCACGTGTGTTAGACCATATAATTAGTCAATAATGCCATATACACATGCCCCCCTTTAGCTCTATATGTGTAATTTTCTGTTACAAGAATGACCTTGGGGCAATATGGACAAGATTTGCCAGGACCCAGTGGACATGATAAACCAAATTGAAATTAATAATAAACTTTTCTTCTTTTTGGTACACATATCTTACTTGATAGTTTTCAAATACATATATAGCACAACATTGTTATATTTGTTGCATGTGTCTTTGCCTTAAACAAAGAAAGAGGTTTAACAAAATAAAAAAATCTTCACCTTTTGCAAATTGAAGAAACCAGGTTTGCGGTAAAGTTTCTAAGTTCCCAGTGATTGTCAGTATATCTATTCCCTAATCTTTTGGCAACAAGGCAGGTAATAACTGATGGCATCAATTGTTGTAGCTGGAACAAATTACAAAATTAGATAGATAAAATCTCACTTGAAATGAAAAATGTAAATATCAGATAGACAGAGACTATAAATTCTTCTGAAAGGTTATATGGCTATAAAACCTATGTACTTAAAACAGCTGATAGAATTAAATGCTTACATAAGGTTCAATATGTATGTGAGGATTTTGAAGAAGGCTCCGGACAAGGCGCATCAAAGCAAATAGGAAGGGGAAACTATTCAAATTCCGTGTAACCTGAGATGATTGCAGGAAAACATAATGTAAAATGCGTAACAAAAAGTAATTAGACCAAGATACCATCAGAATGACTACCTCATCAGCAACAAAGCATGTGAAGTAAGGAACCAACGCATGGAGTCCTGAATCTGTTGCCAAGCTGACTAATGCTTCTTTGAAGAGGGAGGAACTAGACCTGCGAGTAAGCTCTGTAATCTTCTCAAAGTAAAGCTGCAGAGGCAACCACAGAGAAATTATGGCATTTAATAGTATTTTACACAAGGTGCTTACAGAACATGGAAAATAATATACCTGAAGTTCCCTTGACAGTACATGCTTAACAGGCAATTTAATATCTACAGGAATTCCATCTTCCTTGTATTCAGATTTTTTCACATCAGAGTACGCTGCCAGTGCTACAAAGCAAAGCATTATGGCAATCCAAATTACTATTGATTGTAAAGTTAAAATTTCAAATAAAATAGGTCATACATAAGAATGCAACACAAGGATTATTGCAAACTGTAAGTAAATTATTAGACAGGGATCATATCATCGTAAATCAGAACTGAACATGATTAAACAGGTTTTATGTAGGATATGCAAATGATAATTCAATGCATGATGCCTGCCTCAGCATGGTAGGCTAGAATAAGAACTTGGTAAAGATCAGGTCCCTAGTTTAGCCAAGCAATCTTGCACGTAACTTTAGCTGGATACCTTCAATAGGAGCATTTTCTGGAATTGCAGGTTGAACACCTTCAATTGCCAGCCAGTGAGCAGTAACTGATACACCAAGAGGTGCTCTTGGTAAAGGTGCTTCAATGACCTATAAATATCATGCAATATATGAAACGTCAAAATATAACTAGTAAATGTAGCATAGAAAACCATGTTTAAAGTCATCAATAAGCTCTTACATCTTTAAATTCCACGTCATTGTCATCGATGTAGAACAAATCCTTATGTCCCGCAGCTCTCTTGAACCTCAAAGGATCTCCAGAGGCAAAGCCAAATATCGGCTAAAGCAGGTAGAAGACAAGTAATCTTTTATCTTCTTTTTTTTAATAAAGAAAAATGTGAAGATTGGACACAAAATTAAACAAACAAAATCGGAAAATGAATGAAGGTCAAGCTTTTCAAACTTAGACCTTGTCAGCACAGTATCCACATATGAGACAAACATAATACACTTATAGATGCTCAAGGAAGCACCGAAGCACACACCCCTAAAAAGGCAAATGGGAGCAACGGTTGACAAAGACATGTGGAGCACTTCTTCTCCACCACTCTACCCATCACGTGAAACCCGTCCCACACTACACCAGACTGCATCACATAATGTCACCCTTAGGAGATTGTCTCAAGATTTCATTCCTTATTAGAGTACTGATTACCTTAATCCTTCTAACATTCCTTTCCCATATACTTTATATTACAAGTCCCAGGAATCATTTTCTGTTTTCTGCCGTCCAGACTTACTTCCGTGAAGATTCCAGAGGGTCTTCCCAAAAAGACAAGTTCTAACATGTGTCCTCAGTCACACGGACATCATAATACTAATCATGCTACAGACTAACAAAATGCATAAAACAACAGCTTCCAACAAAGAAGCTCAAAGCATTTGACTTAACAGAGTATAAAAAAACAAACAGAAATATTAATAAGCGTTTAGAATGAAGGAAAATCAATTTTGCATTTCCAACACAAAGAAAACCATAGAATTAAACGAGCACCACAAAGGTAGTCACATCTGAATAACAACACAGCTTACCTCCACATTTCTTAATTTAAGTGCACTATCCACATCATCTGTAGTCAGAACAGTTCGCCTTGAGTGTCGCATGCATTTAATTGCCTCCTGCGATTTTAAAATGGCAACCATTTATTTCCTTCCTCACAGGCTCTATATAAATGGAAAGAATAGACCACATAATGAGCTCAACCCTAATATTTTCTTCATAATCTACCTTAATGAAGAAAACAAGAAGTTGCTGCTGTAGTTGAATCTTACCTTAACTTTAATTTACAACTTAAAAAAAATTATAATTTAAAAAAAAAAGTTCAGGGGATATTTTACACAATTAAGATTTTAGGGTTATATTTGACAATGAAAGATAAGAATTTACACATTAAAACACTGGGGATATGTCTGATTCCTCTATTCAAACCTAGCAAGTAAACTAAAGCAAGTTCTTCCATTTTTGTGACAACTAAAGGTTTAAAACTCCATAGAGCTACAAAATGCCAATTATAACTAAATAAAATTTAAGAAAAAGCTTTCTGTAACCGCATTAACCAGGCAAATACCTGCATGATCTCTCGGACCCGGTACTCAACATCTGGGGTGAGAGCAAGCGCGACTTCGGGGGACAAATTGGAAATGCCAATGCTCTGTGCTACGACCTCTATCGCTTCTTTAGGCACATTGCTCATTTTTATTGTTTTTTAGTTAGGCAATTTTTTTGCTTAATTACTTCATAAAGCTCTTGCACCAAAGGCCACCCCACTGGTTCTGCAAAGCAATTATTAAAATAATAAGTAAAACCCTACTTCGTTACGGAGCTGGGTATGCTATTTTCAAGCAATATATGCATGGAATTGAGATTAGGCACAAAGAAAGTCGCAAAAACTCATCTGGGTTCGGTCAGCTTGATGATTATATATTTATATGTATACCAATATAGGTCTACATATTGCTCAGGCAATTCAAACTGTAAAGAGAGAGAATTTTGAAAAGAAGTACCTGAAAATGGCAAGCCAAATCCGAGTTGGGGTCGACTGTCAATAATGGACGACGAGGTCCGGTGAGGAAGTTACAGGCTTAGAGCCATGGTTGTCAGTTCAAGAAAGAGGTTTACTGGGCTCATATTTATAGGCCTAACAGTCAAAGAACCCAGTCATTAATTACCGGACTGGACACTAATGAGAATACATAAGCCAATTTGGGCTTACAAGGAAAGAATTCTTTTTTTATTTGTTCATCAGTAGGAGGAGGAGATTTGGGACAAAAAATAAAAAAATTTAGTATAAGCGATATTTGGGGAGGTGGATTCAAACACAGGATCTAGAGATAACTGCGATTAACTACTTGAGCTAGCCCCTTATAATTTGCAACCTCTTTTAATAGAAAAAAATAAATATTTTTTTAGAAATCGAACTCGGATCGTATGATAGTTACGAGACTAATACAATTGTCATTAAATTTATCACTAATTTTCTCATCATATATGTGCACATGTGGATATTTTACTTGTTAAAAATAAATAGTGTTAGGAATCGAACTCGGAATGCTAGGTGCACGGACAATTGTTGTTAGCCACTCCACTATAATATTGACATATCATTTATTACTTAAAACACATAAACACTAAACACTAATTAGTGTAGGGTATTGCTTGCCTTCTTTCCCGTAAAGAGATACTTATTCTTTTTACAAATCACAATTTGACACATGTTCAAAAATAATTCATCAAAAACACAAAAAGAAAAACTTCCGCACACATATCACATAGATAGTGGTTGTTGTTAGCCACTCCAGTATAATATTGACATGTCATTTATTACTTAAAACACATAAACAATAATTAGTGTAGGATATTGCTTGCCTTCTTTCCCATAAGGAGATACTCATTCTTTCTACGAATCACAGTTTGACACATATTAAAAAATAATTCATCAAAAACATAAAAAGAAAAACTTCTGCACACATATCACACAGATAGTGACAATAATATAGGAGCTCTTACTTATTGTAATAGTACTTGAAAAAGAAAAATTACAAACTAATTCCATTTTTCCGTTAAATTATAGGACTTCATGACAAGCGAATATTTTCGTCTTCTCAAGTTCTCCAATGTCCTCGCGTGAATTTATCGGTTTGTTTTTATAGAGAGAGGAGCTCTGCCTCCATTAATTTATGGACAGTCAATTGGACGGGAGTGAGAAAAAAATAATACTAATAAAATATCAGATCTCCTCTCCTGTTAACACAATCGTGAAAGGAATTTTTTTGTCTCCTTCCACCAAAAGATGAGAATAGTTTGCAAAATCCCCTTCCAAGCAGCAGCAGCATCGGACTTCTTAGCAATAGAAAAGAAACTGGAATTTTCTCTCTCGCACGCTAGTGAAAAATGGGGAGTTAGAAACTTTGAACTTTGGTGGTCTATTTGCTCCGGAACCTCCAACAATTAAAAGATCATACTTAAAGGCGCCAATGAGTTATGCAATTTACAATTATTTTAACACCACACAAATTCACAAACTAAACACCAAAGAAAGCCGAATGCAACATCACAACCAAGACAGCACTCCACAACAAGACACACAAGCAGGAGGTCTTTGTGTTCGGTACAGACTTATAGTTGGTATTAGATTACAAGTATTTGATCAGCAAAAATATCACGGCAACCAGAACCACAATCCCGACAACAGATAGAAGCATGCACATGCAGGAGCAACCACCCTTTGTGCGCTTGTTCAAAACTGCCAAGTTCTTCTGCACCCGCTGTTTTGACAATATCAGATGGACAAAATAGTATGTGATTACTGTTTCCCCACAACAAAATATTATAATTCTTAATAAATGGAAAACAGAAAAATCAAAAAATCCAATTTAACTTCCGTGACTGCCCTCGGCATGATACGGTATATCCTACAATGCCTACAACATGCTCCAACAGCTTTGGCAGAAAACCTCATATCAATTTAGAATCAGATGCATTTTTTTTTAACTGTAACAACACTTACAAACTCAGATCAGATGCCATCTTATTTTAGTTTTGTTAGTTTTTCCTTTTCTAATAAAGCAGAAACCACCCAAAGTAGTTGCAGCACAATATTGAAGTTTAGTTTTGTTGACAAATGAAGTGAATAGTTTCTTCTTTTACCAGTCACCTAACCATTTTCTTCCTTTTTCCCTTCTTTTGAGTCAACTAATAGAATATGAAATTCAAAGCCCAACATAGCGGCATAAAGAAATGCAACTGGGACTCCCAAACATTCTACAACAAAAGTATGATAAATTGATTTATGTTAACATTTGAGTTTTAAGCTGATAAAACCCAATGATTCTTGTGCATTGAGCACATTTATAGCCTCCTCAATGCAATTTAATGACAAATATCAGTGCTGAAGTCAGTTCAAGTTAACAGCACCTATTTCCAAAAGAGAATATAGGTTTCCAATAAATTAAATTTCTATTGGTAAGATTTAGCCTAAGAGCTATCCAAACCCTACGCCATCTGTAACGATCTCAGTCGAGACCCTTGAGAGTTACATATATAAAAAATGAACCATTGACCGCCAAGAAGATGAAAAGAAAAATTTATCACTCAAAACCCCTTACTTTTCTTTTCTTCTATTTCCCTAGTGAATAAGCGTATGCATTCTATAATTTTCCCTTCACAATTTGACAACTAAAAAAAAAGGCTTATACCAGAGTCATTCCAAACATCTTTAATATATCTTCTTCTTTTTTTATTAAATTTCTCCATAACATCTATTTTCCTCGTGTCGATCTTACTTTTATTGATAAGTTTTTCCTAAGAAATTCAAGAATTAATTAACTAAGACTGAACGGATCACAATGCATTTAAAATCACACGAAATATCCACCCAGAACACACCTTTTGCTTGTCAGGGTACAGAATAGTGACTTGCTAAACAAGGGGACAAGCTATTTTAAAATACATGAGTTAGAACATTACCCGTAGCCGGGAGTCTGTAACTTCCACATGTTGATCCAAATCATCCTGTGCCAGAAAGAATATGTAATAGTCAGAAAAGCAAAACTCATTTCAGATAAATAAGTAATTACTTTTTAGATGGAAGAGCCAAAGACAAAAAGATTTGGATGCAAGAACATACAATAAGTCTAGTGTGTAGGTCAAGTTCCTCATTGACTGCCAATGCAATATGTTTTGTGCTTACTACAGTCTCCTCCAATTTCTCAAGCCCCTCATCTTGCTCTGCTTCAAAGGCATACCATGTTAAGATCAATATAGTGAAATCCAAACCATGTGAAAGAAGATTAAAGACTGTTAAAGGTTAGAACTTAATATTAAGGAACTTGCCTTTCATAACTTGTCGCTGCAGACCAACAAGGCCATAGTTGTCCAGACCAACTGTTCTTCCCATGGCATCAGCTTTATTTATTTCTGGCCCAAGCAAGCTGTCTCGGTTCGCAGTATGTGACGTCAGCGTTGACGCCATCTGTAGAACTTTCGATCTTAAAGTTCCGATCATATCCTTCCGACGATTCAGCTCTTTCTCTGATCTGAGTATTACAATAGGCAGCACACAAAATTTCATATGATTATAGCCAGAATCATTTTTGCATTACGAAGGACTATGTTACAATAACCATGCTCAATCAACAGTTTAAAGAACTTTTATCACAAAAGAGGATCACATGAAAACCAACTTAAAAAACTCATAATATGGGAATAAACCCCTTCACATGACATTGACAAACACACAAAGGAAAGGAAAGAAGAGTTGACAACATTGTTAAGTTCTAGACAAATTTGCTCCAATGGCAGGTTGTTTTATGTAGTAAAACAATTCACCTAAGATGACTTACATGGGCTGCTTTCCAGGGAGTTTTGATAAAAGGGACTGTAAGCTATCAAGTCTAGTCCCTAATATTGTATTCTTCCTCCGTATGGCAGAGACATAACGCTGAGCGTCTGGACCTGATGCAGGCAATGTACTCCGTTCAGATATCATACCATTGATATCATCCGCAAGTTTTGTTGCCTCATTATATTCCTTCATCCATGAGTCCGAAGAAGATGCCATTGAACTGCAATATATCAGGCATACTAATTCATCAACAACATACTCGAGAATTCTTTATAAACAAATAAACACAACATCTTTGCATATACTTGGACCTTGCATAAGATTATAAAAAGGCAATAACAAGAAAAATACAAGACTAAACATATACAGTAGATATAAGAGAAAATGGAAGATTACATCTAGAATAGGATCATACAAAGATATTTCATCATTCTGGTTAGCACAATTTTCTTTCCCAATACCTCCACTAAACCACCCTATTCTTGACCTTAAGTTAAATCCCAAAAGGATTATTTTGGTAAGTGCAGCACAGCACGAGCGGAATATGTTTGGTTGATAAATGCTTAAGAAACAAAATAAACTCAAATCAAAATCAACAGTTCCCTCTGTGATCCTACTGCTAATTTCCAATAAACTTAACCTACCGATCCCAAAGCAGTGTCAACTAGTTATGGATTCAGCCAAAACTACTTGGTGCATCTTCAGCAAAGCATGCGGTTACACCACTATCTGTATAGCATCTCTGTATAGATAGTCTAATCTTACCAAATCTCAAAAAACTACAATATCCATGAAGCAACCTATACATGAACATACATCATTAACATTGCTACTTCCAGAAAAGCAATATAATTCCACTTTCTCCCAGCAGTTGACCACAAATCTCCAACGCCATATAAAGGACCTCCAGCTTGCACCCACTAGCTCATATAACCCAAAAAAATCAAGGAAACAGGCTATAAAATACATTGCATCAGCTCATTATGAAAACCCTATTCATTCTTTTATTCCCAAATGCGGCAACACCAGCCACAACTAAGCTCTTAATTCGCCTAACTCTAAGTAAGTTGAGTGGACTACATGCACATTCTTGCACCAATTTTGCTCTATCGAGAGCAACAAAGGTAAAAAAGATTATCAAAGTCAAAAGCCGCAAATCAAGCTCTTTTAGTGCTTCAAATCAACAAACCCAGAATTCAAGCTAAGTAAAACAATTAGAACCAATTCAAGTAAATGTTAATTCAAAGCAACTCTTACCCAAATTCGGCATGTAAAAATGGATTCGA